GTTTGGTGACCCTTGTGTTAAAGCGTTTTTAAGCGAGAGGGATAGCTGGATGCCTTTGTCCAAATGATGGATTTCCTGGAACATCATCAGTTCTATTATTTCTGTGATGAGTATTTGGAGTTTCTGCGCCAGGGCGCCCTCTGGCTTACAGTATGACTGAACCATGTTTATGTGTGTTTATTACACTCCACAATGCTCACACCACCCTATTTTTGGTTAAAAATGGGGGGGAAATACTTCTCTCTAAATAAATTTGAAGTAAACATATGCAAATCCAAAGACTTTTCTCTAGTGTTTTACCACCTCAAGACGTTTGCATTCATGTAAAAATATACCCCATTGTCATGTTCTAGCCTTGTTATATTTATCTTTCAATAAAAATATATCCCCTTAATGTTGTGGCAGTTTTTCCCCATGGTACCAAAAATCAATATTTTTCAAGGTATCATACTGAATTTAAAATTTCCAAAATTGCGACAACAATAGTAGCCAACGTAATTGCCGGGATGTCAACTAAAAGTCAGTCTGAATCTGTGGCACTTTAAAAACACTGACCTGTTTGACACTGCATCCCAACATGTCAATGTCTGGTTCAGCCAATGGCGTGAGTTTGGTGCAGAACATCTTCATGTAACAGCAGATGGGGAAGTAATTAGGAAAGCTGTATGGAAACATTCATCATTGCATTTTGCAGTTCAATGGCAGCAAATGATATACTTTTACATACCTTAACATCAGTACCTTTAAATGAGAAGAATGAGTTCAAAAGTGCCTTTTTTCCAAACAACAGGGTGTAATTTTAGGTTTCTTAAAATTATCTGTAAATTTAGTCCTTCGGCAATCCTACAGCCTGAACCACTGTAGGGAAACCACCCTTACATGCTTACCACTTCATAACGCCAGTCGAGTGTTTGAAATAACTTCCTTTTGCCATATATTGTTTGATCAGTTAAGGCACGGGTCACCAAACTTGGTACTGGAGGGCCACTGTCCTGCAGAGTTGAACTCCAACCCTAATCACACACACATGAAGCATCTAATCAAGGTATTTCTATGTATACTTGAAACTTCCAGGCAGGTGTTTTGAGGCAAGTTGGAGCTAAACTCTGCAGGACACCGAGTTTGGTGACCCTTGTGTTAAAGCGTTTTTAAGCGAGAGGGATAGCTGGATGCCTTTGTCCAAATGATGGATTTCCTGGAACATCATCAGTTCTATTATTTCTGTGATGAGTATTTGGAGTTTCTGCGCCAGGGCGCCCTCTGGCTTACAGTATGACTGAACCATGTTTATGTGTGTTTATTACACTCCACAATGCTCACACCACCCTATTTTTGGTTAAAAATGGGGGGGAAATACTTCTCTCTAAATAAATTTGAAGTAAACATATGCAAATCCAAAGACTTTTCTCTAGTGTTTTACCACCTCAAGACGTTTGCATTCATGTAAAAATATACCCCATTGTCATGTTCTAGCCTTGTTATATTTATCTTTCAATAAAAATATATCCCCTTAATGTTGTGGCAGTTTTTCCCCATGGTACCAAAAATCAATATTTTTCAAGGTATCATACTGAATTTAAAATTTCCAAAATTGCGACAACAATAGTAGCCAACGTAATTGCCGGGATGTCAACTAAAAGTCAGTCTGAATCTGTGGCACTTTAAAAACACTGACCTGTTTGACACTGCATCCCAACATGTCAATGTCTGGTTCAGCCAATGGCGTGAGTTTGGTGCAGAACATCTTCATGTAACAGCAGATGGGGAAGTAATTAGGAAAGCTGTATGGAAACATTCATCATTGCATTTTGCAGTTCAATGGCAGCAAATGATATACTTTTACATACCTTAACATCAGTACCTTTAAATGAGAAGAATGAGTTCAAAAGTGCCTTTTTTCCAAACAACAGGGTGTAATTTTAGGTTTCTTAAAATTATCTGTAAATACTGAAGATACTAATGATGGTAGCATAAATACGTTTAGTCTTTAACACATACAAAAGATGTTGCATGATGTCGTTTACTTGTGTATTAGACACCTTGAACAGAACACAGAGAGATACTGTACTGTAAATCAGTTTCTGATGCACAGATTTAAACCTTTCACCATCTATTCTACTTTTTTAGTCTGATGCATATACGAGTGAAACATGATATTCAATATTAAAATATTAGCTGTAATGTATAGATAAAATATATAAATGTTATCTTTATATCTGAGAACTATTTTTGATTATTTATTGTTTTATTAATTTGATTATTTCGAGAAAAAAAAAACAATTCTTTTTTTTTTGATTACGAAGGTAAGCTTTTTTTTTTTTGTCTTGAAATTATGTGCACAGATTAGTCATACACAATAATAGCAGGGATGTGTATTAAAAATAAAACAAGGGCCTGATTTCATGTTGCCTTTAAACTGCTTAAGAAAATCATCAAATTACTTACTGAAAAAGTTACACTTTCACCTATCAAACCATGTTTATGCATTCATGCTAGTTATTGCATTAATATTCCAACAGCCTTGATTTCAGGGCTTGGCGTTAGAAATGGCAATATTTCTTGGACATTAATTCAGCAATCTACAGTAATCATTAACAAACTCCTCTCAGGGTGTTAGGCTTTACATTCTGGTTAAATGTGTCTCAATTATCTATTCAATTACTGATAAGGTAAACGGTTCAGCTGCCAGAAAGATTCAGTCTGGTCTGATTCAATCAGTAGGAACACACTGCCACCTCCTGGCCGAATCTGTGATGACATTCATGATGAGGCTGTTGTGTCTCCACAAACAGATGATGCTGCATAAAAAATGGTACTATGATTATTATGAAGATTTGGATAATGCATTAAATCTAATGTCGAATTTTTAGCACTAGTATGTTTAAAATTACTCTTTAGGGGGAAAAATAATTTTCTTTTCCACATTTTCTGCGTGAAATACACATAGGACCCACTAAACTTGCCAAAAAGTGCAGTACACAACTAAAGCACACTATTATTGCATTCATAACCTGAGAAACGCTCCTTTCGCAGACAGTATATAAAGTATAGTCCAGTGTTATTTTGCAAAAGTAAAAAAATATATATTAAAAATAATTTGTGTTAATCAAAATGAAGCTGAAATAAAATAAATTTTAAATATTAAATGGAAAACTTAAAAACCTAAATGAACATTAGAAATGATGCAACTAACTGAAAAAAAACACATTTAAGCTGAAGTGCCTAAATTACTAATGTATTATTATTAAAAATAATAATAAATGTAATAAAAAAGGGAAAATAATTATAATAATCACTAAATAGGAATAGGTTTTTGACAACAAAAAATAATAATAAAAATGACAAAATCACATAACAAAAACATTAACTAAAAAAATACAAAAATAAATGTAGAGTAATTGAGTAATAGATATTCATATTGGTAATTGAGTAATCGGTCGATTCTTTATAATAGAAATGCTACAGTCACTGTAATTTCTTGAACAAGATCATGTGGACATCAAAACATGCAAACTCAGTGCGAGGGTTTAAACTTTTATTTTGAAGTGGCGATGAACAGTTTGAATATTTAGAAAGATAATGATGTATTCTCCTGTGTTGGCGTAGGTTTATAAATGATTTACCTAATAAATCTGATTGAATGGTGCACAAAGTTCCCAGATGAACATCACAGCATATGCAGAGATGGAGTTCAAGACGGTCCGCGCATGTTTGTGCGGAGCAGCATTTACTGTGAACGGAGACTTTTTTTTCTGTAGGTAATTGTTCCATTTCAGACTTGCTTGGGTTTACTAATGTATCCCACAATACACTGCACTCAACTTGAAGTGATATCAGCTGTGTAACTCTTTCTTGACTTTCATTGGAGAGCTAAATGTAAAGACATTATTACACAAATTGAATTAGAAATGCAAAATATGATTCCTGGACGCCACTTACTGAATTAACATAATGAGGTCATGTGACAACAATGTAGCATCCTACTATATGAAGTGTTTGCATATGTAGTTATGTAGTATATATTTGCAAATATGCAGTATATGGTGCAGTATGCAGTACACTAGTGTTACACACTGAAAGTGGCCTTTGTTTGAAATCATTTAACTTGCATAGTTGTGCTAATTAGGATCAAGGGAATTGCAATGAAAATCAAAGGCTCATAAAGCTTTTGTTTTGGTCTAAATCAATGCACTTGCTAAAAAGACCCGAGGATCCAGATTCAAGACTAGGCACCATGTGTTCTGTTTAATAGGAGAAATTAATGTTTATGGGCCATGTCATACAAATAAAGCCTCTGGGCTGCACTATCTAACACACATTAAATTCAGTTTATTCTGCTGGATTGATACTAATTTGCTTTCAGAGCTTCAGTTTAAACGGGCACTTTTTAGCACTTCAAAAATAATGCATTATTGGTAAATCAATAACCACACTGGGATTTCTCATCACTTCAGCTTGTTCTTGAAACTGTATCATCTAAGATTTGGAAATGATGATGATTGTGTGTGTGTGTGTGTGTGTGTGTGTGTGTGTGTGTGTGTGTGTGAGACTCTGTTCCTTGTTTTGTGTGTGTTTTGCTCCCCATGTGCCTTCCTTGCCCTTATTTGGTCCTTCCTGTCCCCATTTAGTTCTATTAGTTTCAGGTGTTCCTTGTTATTAGTTATCCTCCTCACCTGTCTGCACCTTGTTATCTGCCCTATTTGAGTTCTAGCCCGTTCTGTTCTTCCTTGTCCGGAATTGTATATGTCTACCCTTGCTACGTGTGTTGTCCTTGTTCCCTGGATGTGATTAAAACCTATATGTTTGAATTCCACTCCTCGTCTCTGAGCTCCTCACAGTAGCATAGTGTGACAGCATTCCGCACTGTGACAGTAAACAGCGCCCCTTCTCCCATGTTTTTGTTTTTGTTTTATAAGTCTTTTGTTTTCCATTTCGTTTCTCCCCGCCAACATGGAGGAACGAGCGACATTCATCACCGTGGCTCAGACCCGCTCACCTACATGAGGGCATTTGAGAGGCAACAGAGGGTGACGCTGTTCCGGCTTGGGATCACATACCATCGCCCCGCGGAACTCCCAGACACCACCAACCACGACTGGAAGGAGGCGGTCATCCGGTGTCTGGCAAACCTCCGATCCCGATCCGGAGCCCCTCCGCCGGCCGCTCCAAAGTCAAGCCTGCCGGCCACAGTATTCTCAAGTCCGCCGGCCATTCCTCAGTCTAGCCCAGTGAGGGCTAGAGCCCGACCGATATATCGTTTTGCTGATATTATCGGCCGAAATGAGCCTGTCGCCGATATATCGGTATCGGCGAATATGCCGCCGATATGAAAGTTTTTTTTACAGAACATATAACGCAGATAAAATGCTTGAAATGGTGTAATTACTTAGTTTGTCCAGCAGAGCGTGCTCCATTGTTTGCTACTGGCGACCTGGATGAAACGCTTTAAAGCTTAAAGGAACACTCCACTATTTTTGAAAATAGGCTCATTTTCCAACTCCCCTAGAGTTAACCAGTTGAGTTTTACCGTTTTCGAATCCATTCAGCCGATCTCCGGATAATTAAACCGTACAAAACATCAAACCATTAAGGTATAACAGTTACAAAAGTAATACATTTACACTTTAAGAGGAAGCATAGGATTATTATAGAGATGCAGTTTTGACTGCTTTAGGTTTAACAGCACTTTAGATCATTTCCATAGACTTGTCTAGATCAACTCTGAATAAAGATAAGCGAGATTTAGAGCCAGTACATTTTCATTTTTATGTATGTGAAATTTAGCCAGCAGGAAGTCTGCTGCTTGCCCTCTTCATATTTAAGGAGAGAGAGAGCTATTTAGTTTCCAAAGTCGGACATCGCTTTGTATGATTTTGATGGTATGAATAAGTTACTTTCTGTTCTTCGAACTCAAGTTAAAATAGGATCAGGCCTTTGCTGTTGGCTGTCGTGAATAAAAGTTACGCCTTCTTTCTTTGCGTGAACATTTGGGCGGCGTTATGCAGATCTTCCCAGATAGTGAGGTAGACATGTGGGGGCGTGTTAGAACGAGCCGTTTTAGGTAGGCGTGGTTGACTCTTAACTTTTATAAAGAATATCTCTTTGGATTTGAGACTTTAGTCTTTGCAACTTTACAGATCTTCTTTATGCACCAAGAGCTTGTAACAGTTCAACGCACCACCGTTTCCATTTAAAAACGTTTTGCACCGTTTTTGTCGGGGCTGAACTCAGCCCTGTTTTCCGGGTTTCAAGATATTCAAGTATTTATTATGTCTATGATGTTCGACATATACCCTATTACGCTGGATGCCAACCGCCTTTAAACATTAAAAAGAAGAAGACGACGATGACTAAAAAAAAAATGAAAGACGAGTGTTGTTCATAAAATTGCAAGAAAAAGAAATCCAAGACATGTAATTAAAAAATATGTTGGCAAGAAAACAAGGTATGAAAGATGAGGTGTTACAATATATAAAAGCAACAAGATTATATTTGAGAATATAATTAAGAAATGAAATAGTATGAGTGTTATGTATTTAGGTATAATAATTAAATTTAATAGGTTGTTTTTTTGTATTAAGCTATGTTTATTTATTTATTTATTAAAGGGGTCATTTGATGCTCTTGGTGCATAAAGAAGATCTGTAAATTTGCAAAGACTAAAGTCTCAAATCCAAAGAGATATTCTTTATAAAATTTCAGAGTCAGCCACGCCCCCCTAAAACGGCTCGTTCTAACACGCCCCGACATGTCTACATCACTATGTGGGAAGATTTGCATAACGCCGCCCAAATGTTCACGCAAAGAAAGAAGGCGTAACTTTTATTCTCGCTGTAGTATTGTTGTTGCTGCCGCTGCCATGTCCTGAAGACGCTGTGTGCTTCGTTGTGAAAGCGAAACTACTTTGTTTGGCCGCCGTTTAACAGTCCTGAGCGCAAGCTGTACCGGTGGTCAATAAGAATAAAGTGCAGATATGCTGTTCTGAATGGACGTCGGGAATGGGATATTGTTAGAGCGCCCGCTCCCGTTCAAATTACAGCAGAGTTACCGACCGCTACCGCGTTTTATTTGGGAATTTAATCCCGTGGCGCAAAAAATCAAATCCATAATTAAAATAATTTAGAGTGTAATTCTGGTTTAATAGAAAAGTCATGGAAAAGTTCAAAATGGTACATTGGCTCTGACTGACTTGCGACGGTTTGTCAAAATGTGTTTCATTATGTTTATAAACTAGTGCCGTTAAACGATTAATCGCGATTAATCGCATCCAAAATAAAAGTTTTTGTTTGCATAATATATGTGTGTGTACTGTGTATATTTATTATGTATATGTAAATACACACATGATGAACATATATATTTAGAAAATATTTGCATGCATATATTCATATAATTTATATTATATATATAAATATATTTAATAAGCATAACATATTCGTCTTAAATAGCCTATATACTTGCATGTGTGTGCATTTATATATAAATAATAAATATACACAGTACACAGCCATATATTATGTAAACAAAACTTTTATTTTGCACGCGATTAATCGTTTGACGGCACTAGTTTATATATGTTTCTATGAGGTTAAATTGTGCATGTGTTATAAACATAAAGGATTTGTTTTCTGGCTTGAGTCAGAGCATGGCACAGCCCAGTACCACGCTGCCGCCCGTCACAATAATGCGACAGACAGAAAGAGAGAGAGAGAGATTGTTATTGTCAGGAAAGGCAGGGATGGGGGGTTGTTGGACGATACTATGTGTGCAGATGCCCGAGATGCTTTTAATGCCAGGCTCCGCATGTTCCCGCCCACACGCCCTCAAACACAAGCAGTCACTTATCTTCTCAAAAGCATTCAGAGAAACAATATGCTCTCATAGTTGCTCTTTTCAATAATTCATTATTGTGTGTGTTGCAGCTGACATCATCTCTGCGGTGGAGTTCAATCATTCCGGCGAGCTTTTGGCCACAGGAGATAGAGGTGGAAGAATAGTGATCTTCCAGCAAGAACAAGAGGTGAGATGGATCAACGATTAAAGGGTGGAGCGTAAATGAGCTTTCAGGCTTGAAATTGTTATTCGAAATGCAAAAGGACACCATAAATGCATACTCCACATATTCAAAATTGGCACCTCAAGGCGAAATGTTATTGGTTCTCACGTGTCTTGTGATTGATTACACACCAGGGTTGAATAGACAAATTTGAGAATTTTTTAGTGGACTGTTTTTTATTCTTTGGTCCTGAAGTTTATGATTTTATACGTTTTGCATGGGTATGCAAACAGACATGGAAACATGTCGGCAAAATGTAAATTTGTGATTTATAGTCCTGGAATATTTGTGCAAGTCAATTTGCAATGATGAAAATAATTATTATTTAGTACATGGGCTTTTCTTTTTGTTAAATAAGTTTTTATTCGGTCATCAAATAACCTTGAAGTAATCACAAGTTCCAGGATTAATTTTCTTCTGTGCACAAAACGAACAAACTTCAAAAAAAAAAAAAAAAACGGTAACACTTTCTATGAAGCCCGTATTTATAATACATTACAAGGGTATTCTTAAGGCATTATAATGAATGCTTAATGCATTATAAAAAAAAACGTATAATATGTTATCAACTCATGAATATCATAATACTTACATATTTGTGGTTATAAGTTTAAGAGTATGATTATTTATAACACACAATGAACACCGTATTAAATCTACTTCATTTACAGTATAATGGACTGTATCATATCTTGACATTGTTTATTTAAGATCTGCACATTATCTTACTACAGCTTGTGAGTGTTAGATGTTGAGTGTTATTTGAGTGTTTCCTGTGGAGCTAATGTTAATTCATTGATGTGAGCTTTATACTCCAACTGAAAAAATGCAATGTTTTATATGGTTACATTTTATTTTGATAGTCCACTTAATCAATCGACTATAAGCAACTTGGCAACTACATGCCAACTAACTCTCATTAGAGTATTAGTATGCTCAAGAATGGTAGAATCTAGTATGGTAGAATAAGTTGACGTACTTGCAAAGACACTTATAGTCAGTTTATCTGTTGGTTGACCATCAAAATAAAGTATTAGCAAATATTTACAGTAGCAGACATACTAATACTCTAATGACCGCTAGTTGATATGTAGTTGCAGAGTCACTTATCAACAGCTG